CCGTTTGATACATTGTTTTTTTCCAAGCATAATAAACAGGACAGTTTGTCAAACATCATCCGTTTTTATAAAATGAAAGGTTAATTATGATTTTATAAAGTGTAATTCTTAATATTTTTGTTTTAATACTACAAAGCCATAGTTTATATGCTAAAGTTGCCACCTAATATAATTTTTATTATTGAAGGAGAAGTTATATGGAGATTAAAACCAATATTTATGGATGAAAAGACAGTGATTTAAAATAAAATTATAAGTATGAACACACATATTACCTTAGTAATATATAGATTTTATGTAATTTGTTAACATAAATCGTAATTTTAACCTGTTGAGTATGCTTTTATAGATTCCACAAATTTAAAATTTTCAAATTATCCTCTTTTGTTAGAGTATTGATTAAAAAAAATTAATACATTGCGATTCTAAAATAATTAATTAAATATGGATGACTGATGTTTTATTTGCTAAAATAGTTATCACATCCATATGCTATCATTCTTGATTTTTGCTTTATGTCGGGTAAATCATTTGTAACGGCAGCACTTTCAAACATTCAAATGCCAGCTGATTTCGTTTGATTATTTTGTTTAGTGGCAAAAATTTTGTATTTTTTAAGTAAAATAATAAATAATAATACAAAGATGGATAAGTGCGCTAATGATTCTAAAGAGGAACATTTGCGACTGGCATCGATCATCAAGGACTGTCACGACAAATTGAGATCTCAATCCAAATTGAAAGGAATGAAAGAAGCTTGGAGTGAGCACTTACAGAACACTGCGCTTTTGAAGCAATACTCGACATCTATGCATCGTTTAGCTTCTATTTGGGAGGCTAACACTACAAATCCTAATTTATATGCTCGCAGTCGTGTAAAATGGATAATTGACTACTGCAATTCATATTTTTTTACGAATAAAGTTTTTCTCGAAAAACGTGATCGCGAACAACGACTGGCGGCATCGTACACAGATATTTCAACATTTGGAGCAAGTGAATTAAGAAAATGTTTTACAAATTCTGTAAATGTACTTGACGTAGGCAGTTGTTTTAATCCCTTTGTTGGTGAAAGCAATTTTAACGTCACCGCAATTGATCTATGCCCCGCGACAATTGATGTTCTAAAAGGTGATTTCTTAAAAATTATGGTAGACAAAAAAATAATCGTTGAAGATGGAGAAGTGCTACGCTTACCATGTGAATATTACGATTGTGTTATATTTAGTCTACTATTAGAATATATACCATCGCCAGAGGAACGACTACATTGTTGTCAAAAGGCATACGAACTTTTGCAAGCTGAAGGCATTTTGATAATCATAACACCCGATTCACAGCATGTAGGCAAAAATGCGAAATTAATGAAAAATTGGCGTTATACACTGGGTACCTTGGGATTTTATAGAATCTGTTTTGAAAAATTGGCACACATCACTTGTATGGTATTCAGAAAATCGCTTATTCCAGCAGTCGCACAACGTTGGGCTGAATTGCATCGTGAGGATTATATGTCAAAGACAATAAATATACCACAAGATAAAGTGTGATTATAAACACTACATGTTTTTTATACTTGAGTGTGGAATGTGTCGATTTTTTTTAAATTATTTACTATCGAAAATTAAAAAGTTTAATTCAATTATGTAAAACTCTTTTAAGCATGCCTTTATTTGTATGCATATACGTACTTATACAGTTTTTTTTATAACTGTTGGAAATACTATTTATTTTGAGCGACTTATATTTAACTTACTAAATAACTGTGTTTATGATATATTTATATGTATATATCTTATTCTCTTTAATCTCAGTGAATCTTATTGTATAGTCATTTCTAAATGTTGTTGCACGGCCTCCGTATTGGCATTGACACTTTCTGTACTAATCGTACTAACACTCGTGTTCATCTTTTGTGCAAAAAAAGCCGTTGCCGCACCTACAGCTTGTTTTGCTTTCAAAGCGGCTGTCGCACCCATTGCCTGCGCCATAATATTCGCTATATGTCTGGGCTTTTTCCTATCCGCCTCCCATTCAGCACGATGCAAACGCTGTCGATGTTTATACATATTAGCATTCGAGAAGAAAGTCATTGGACAATTAGGACATGTGTATAACACTTCACCGGTATGTGTTGAAGTATGCTCCTATAATTATAAAATACAAATGTGCATACATATAAACTTGTGTATATTCAACGGCTACCGCCATTACCCTAAGATCTTGTGGTCGCTTAAATGCCTTCTCGCACATTGTACATTTGAATTTGCGCTCACATTCATGATTGAGGTAAATATGACGCCTGAGTGCGCGTGACGTCGTCGAAACTTTATTACAAATCTGGCAGCGATGTTCACCACCCGGATCTTCATGAATCGATTTCATATGCTGTTTAAGGCCAGACATGTGTCGCAACCAAGTGCCACATATCTGACACTGCATTGGCTGGGGCACTGGCCGTGGCACTTCGGAATGCTCCAGTTGATGGTGTTTTTTAAGGTACTGCGTGCGCACCTGTTTGCCGCATTTGTCACAAATTATTGTGCTTTCTGGATCGTGATTATATTTAATATGATCCTTGAGCTTACGTTGCGTTGGTAACCTAGTAAAGAGATTATAAATGCGTATATTTTTAATAATAAAATCGAAATGTTGAAATCGACTTACTTTTTATTGCACTGCGTGCATGCGAATTTGAATTCTGATTTGGGCACATGCTTTGAAAAGGAGTGATGTTCAAAAGCCGCCTTTGTTGTGAAAACTTTCGGACATTTGTCACACTGGAACATTTTGCGCTCCTTCGGCTCGGGTGGATTAACATGCGCCTCTTCATGTTGCTCGAGGTTGCGACTGTCCGTAAAGAGTCTACCGCATGTAGTGCATTTAAAGTGTTCTGGATTCCAATGTAAATAAATATGTTCGGCCAAAGCTTTTCTCTGTGGAAATTTGCGACCGCAACACATCATATAACCCGGATCCTCATTATGTGAAGCACGAAAATGCCCACGTATTTCGGCAAAATTTTGTACCAGTAATTCACATTTAGGACAAGCAAAACGCCCGAAAAATTGACGTATTACTCTATCGTATTCATCTTGTTGTGCACGCTTCGCCTCGATCTCCTCACGTGACATACGTTTAGGAGGCACAAGTGGTTTTTCGCGTTTACGATACTTTTTCGGCTTGACAATTTTTCTTTTCGGTATGACGGCATATTTTGGCTTAGGTTCGAAGTCGGGTAAACTGTGATCAGAATCCGTATTTTCGCTGCTGGAGTCAACGCTATCATCTGTGCCAGATAAACCGCCGTGGGCAGCGCCAAAATCCTGATCATGTTCTACAAATTCATCATCGCTATTCAAAATACTGCACTCATTTTTTATGTCACCTTTCGTGTCATCTTTATTATTCGATTTTTCTTCATCATTTCGTACTTTTCTAGGTCTACCACGTCTTCGTTTCACCGGTTCCGCAATTGCAATAGTTGTAACTTCTTTTTCAGTTGTTTTTTCGTCTTGTGGTGATGTATCAATAGAAGATTTAACATCTTCCTTGGTATCAGTCTTGATACTAGTACTTAGTAAGACAGATAAAGGCAATTCGGTTTCTGAATCATCATCATCATCATCATCATTATTTTCAGCACACGGCTGAGGCGTTTCTTGTTTAACACGTTTAGTGGTTGCTGATATTTTGGCATTTGCATCTTTTGGTGGACGGCCACGACGCTTTGCGCGTTGCGCCCTATCACTTATGGGTGTGCTCTCTTCGATGATTTCGATTTGTGGTAATAAATCCAAGTCGTACACTTCCAATTTTACTTCTAAATATATATATTTTTTATATCAAAACTTATCAGTTGCGCACAATACAAACTCTTTTTAGTATATTCTACACAAACCTGAGTCGAATATGTTCTCTTCCACATTTATAGAGTTTTGTAACTTTTCGTCGGTATCCACCGCGTCTTCCGATTTAAGATGAATTTCTTGTGGCAACGGATCGGATTCCTGCTCCTGCTCAATATGAGCAAATGGAGTCTTCCAATCTGCACGATTATGTACCTCGGCTACACGTTGATAAAATATATGAAAGTCACGTAAAGCCTCCCAACATGTCCAACAGATGCGTTGCCCCGTACACATATCCCGTTCAGGCTAGTTACGCTCCACAGTTAATAATTAAATTTCATTTATTAMATTTATTTTACTTACTTTCAACCACAAATGCTTGGCTATAATGCTGCAGACTGTCATTTGGCAACCTTCTTCAGAGAAAATATCAATGAAACGTTGTGCCGGTGTTGTGGCATCCTCCATGCAAAGCAAACAAGCCATTGCACAAATGTTAAAATATTATACTTTTTATATTAAACGCAATTATTTGTCGTACATTTGCTTTAAATATCTTTCTAAAGCATAAATATGACACAAAAACACAACTAAAATCAGCAACTTCTGAAAATACACAAAACTGCAACAAAAGCGTACCCACTAACACAAACAAGCTATGCAAAAAATATAAGAAATGTCAAAATGACAGACATCATAAAGCGATTTGTCAGCGTTTTTCAAATTGAACAGCCTCGTTTGAAGTTATAATTAAATTTTTTCTTTGTTATATATCAATTAAAATATTAAAGCTGAGTTTTTAATTTTCGAAAATTATAATTTTTTGACAATGTCGCGTAAAATACGTAACTCAAAACATGCATTTAGACTGGCAACTCTATTTACATATTTGTGTTGCTGCCAGTGTGATGTAGTGGTACAGAGTGGTTGTTAAGTATTAAAACTGTTAACATATATTTTTAGTAGTAATTATTTTATTTTGTTTTTATTTGTGCATTTTAAATTTTATTGACTTAAAAATAAGTTTGCATATAAAAATCACAAGTGTTCAAAATAAATAAATTAAGGTTTAAATTTGAAGTCTACTATAATAAAAACTCGTAACGTTTATAAATATATCTACATAAAATATTAAATCATATTTTTTAACCTTTCTGTTTTTTGCCTATGATTTCTTTTTATTCAATTTTATATATAGTATATTTTAGTGGAAAAACCAGTTGCTGGTTGTTTGGAATGTTTTTTTTTTTCTTAAATTCAACAAATATAAGAAAGTGATAATTATGATTTACATATATAAAATATACATAAATTAAATTTCTAAGTGAATTAGGATTTCCGGTGATCAACAAAAATCACGGTCAACTGCTGTCCAAAAGTGGACAAACTAGCCAATATAACGGGAAGTTCACACGTAACTATTTGTTGGACTCAGTTTGACGCACGCCATATTTGCTCCAGAATGTAACGGGACATTTTATACGCTTGCCAGAGTTTTTATGAAAAACAGAACACTCATCGAAAGGTGGACAATATAAATGTAGTGACACAGCGGTCTCAATGTGACTCGGATTCTCCACACGATGCAAGCCGAGGTTATCTAAGATTATAAAAATAAAAATAGTTCAATAAACAGTTCAACGCCAAATTGTTTGACGAGATGCCTACCATTTATGTATGCCACATCATTAACAGTTAACGTGGTATCGCCCTCGGCTGTCAGTTCTGCACTATCGAAAGCATGCTCCCCCTCACTATCGCTATCCATTTGACCAATGTCCGCCCCATTGGAGATCTYTATGGCCTGCGTGCATGGCATTTTGTAGCGCGTCTCCTTCAGATCACCCTTAAGCATCTTCATAAAACAATGCGAATCGGCATGATCGTGTATGGCGGAGCCTTGTCCTTCACCCCAGCATAAGATCATCAAATTGAATTTGCCATTGCCGGCATCGACCAGATTGCGCGTGTACTTAAAACGATCGAACTTGGCGAAACGCTTCCATTCGCGTGCATTCGATTTGTATGTCAACATTATATGATTGACCATCTCGATATTTACGAAATTCGTCTCGAACTCTTTGTGTAGTGCAGTGATCAAATCACTTAAGCTATCTATGCTGGGACCATATTTCAGTGGTTTTTCTATGCCAAAAAAATAACGTGTGGCATCACGCAAATAACGCTCCTGCTCCAAATCTGCATTTCCGCTGTTGACTTTGGCAAGCGCCATATCGGTGCAAGTTTGATTAACCTGTGTCGGAGCAATAAAATAAGGATTAAAGTATTTTCTTTGTTAAAGCTTAGTTTATAACTATTTTAAAGAGAATTATACTGAATTTTTCTAAAGAAGCGTTTCAATACCACTGCCCAAGTATTAATCTCAAATCTTATCATTTGTCGTTTTATCTCTTATCCTAGAAATCGGATTTCTCCGATTGGTTAGGTCCCTCATAACCTAAACATTTTTGATCGATCGGCTCATGATCGGCACAAAACGAAATTTCTATTATCTTTTATCACTGTTTTTTCCCATTAGCGTTAGAAATTTTGTTGAAAATGTCGCTCTTTGGTTTTATAACGAATAAAGCAAATTGACTCAATTGACATTACTGTATATTTAACGGTACATTTACACCTATATGATAACCCCTTTTTAAAACTTTATGTGTTGATAGTTTTCATTTCGGGAGTACATGTATGTATGTAYATGTATTTACAATACGTGTGAATATGTATGTAGGTACATATGTACATGTGTATATATTGACACAATTTTGTGTATGCGCAGTATAAAGCATTTGTGATAATATTTTTTGAAAAAAGAAACAGCAAAAAGTTTGTGATTCTTTAACATCGGTCCGAAGCACTAAAATAGTCGCATACTTGTGAAATATATGTATGTTCATCCAAATACATGTGTTTGTATGTGTACGTACATACGTAGATAAGCTCTAATTTTTGATTGCTTCTGGTTTCAGGTTTTTATATGTTTGAAAAAAAAAAAAAGTTTCATCCTCACATAGAGTGTGCCATGTGAGCTTTGCTACTGAAAATAAATTCAATTAAAAGCATAAAACAAAAAATATTTACATATATTTGATTGATTGCAAATTAACCAATTTGTACTTTCAAACCCAATCGAAACGAAGTCTAAGCATCATGTTATTATTATTCACATCTAACATACAAATGTTAATATGCCTATTGACAGCCTTTTGACATTTTTCTTTTATTTTGACTAATATGAAACACTTGCAAAATAAATTATTTAATTTATATGAAGAAAAAAAGAAATGTAATAATAATGGATATGATATATGACTTCGACCACATTTAATGATCAAGATGGCTGGGTTAAAACAATTAGTCATTGCAATATATGCAGTTAAAGGGGATCTGCATTTATACTGCAAAGGCAGTTAAGGCCGAAGACACTAATTTAACGTTTTTTATTAATAATGCGCAATTATATAATTTGTGAAATTTATATAACTAAAGACAAAATTGAGTACTAGCTAACGCATTTGTTGGCTTGGCTGCGGAGKAGAGGTTATGTTAACACAACTAGGAGTAACAGCCTCAAAAATTATCGATTCAATTATAAAATGTATGTAACATTGTAATGATAAATTGTATAGYATCGCAAAAATGCGCAGTTACGTACAAATTGTGTAAATAATAATAATGTACTCAAATAGTTTGAAATTAGTAATTGTATGGGAAATTTTTGTTATAAAAATTAAAAGTGAAATGAAGGCGGTTACAGTTCCAAACACACCTGTTTAATAGTGGGTCAACAAGTTTACCCAATTTAAAATCAAACAAAATKCATATCAATTAAAAAGTTTTTCGCTAACATTGAGTAGAAAAGCATTTAATTTCTAATCGACAGGTGTTTTTTATGCCCTCAAAACTTGAATCATTGCTTTCGATTTTACACACGTTTTCAAAATAACAGTTAAAACACGTGAATTACTGGAATTTCCTCAAAGCGGTATTGTTGGGTKGTGATGTGTGTATACACTCCTCTATGATAATCTTAGAATTTTATTTTTGATTTTGACGCTGTARAACATATTCGTGCTTACATACATACATATATAAGCTACATGAATTTCTTATCGCTTATACATATACAACTATGGGCAAAAATAATTTACCCATTTGTCTAAACAASGAAATAAACATGAATCGCTACGCGCATTGAAGATTATTCCGGAAATCGACRTTAACAAGTGTTTCGAGCTTTGKAAAAGACGTTGGCACAAGTTTGGGGCCRGAGGCGATTACTTTTAGCTGGACAACATAGTTTTTGAAATATAAATTGAGAATTTTRAAATTATGAACAAATTATTTGTTGCTCATATTAGTATAGCCAAATACACCTTGTATTGTGTTATAATATTATTCGAGTATGTGTGTGATTTATGGTTTTTCTGTTAGCAGAGTTTACAGATTGGTATCCCGGCTTTTAAATAATTTATGTATAACGGTAGTTAATGAAGCGGAGTTCACACGATGCGGTAGTCGGCTCTACGTAAACAGAAGTGTGCCGAATTTATAAAAGATCGAGAATTATTGCTTTCGCAGCATTTTCCAAAACTATTTGACGAATATCTCAAATAATCCAACAACAATCAAAATATTTSAGCTAAATCGATATATGTATGTATTTAAAACGTAATTGAAATATAAGCTTATTTATTTCATATGTACGAGTTTGTGTGGATGTATATATTACATATACATACATACATATAAGTATGTGTGTAAAAAAAGACGAACGGCCATTTGGTGCTTTAAGGTCAATATTCATTAATTAATCAGCAGATTTACGGTTTCAAAAAGTAATTTTTTCTATGTGATAAATTTATATACATATGYATATACAGACATGTTTACAAAATATGTTTAACCGCAACTAACACTTCGAATTAACAAAAGGACTAATAAAAATAAAGTTTTTCTCTGAAGAAATATCCTTATAACATGCTTTAAACTTACACTTCMGGTTGTTTACTATATCCGTAACTTRTTTTTTGGTTGTTTTGGTTTTAATTCGATATTCAATTGAATATATTTTTCGATATTGTTTTTATTTTTAGTTTTTAATCGCTGATTTAGGCTCGACGCGTACGTTTCGGAAAAGAGAATATGAATGATTCGAGAATCACAATTCTTTGCTGAGCTGAGATTGAAGCTCGCGATAGATGCCTTTAATCTACTTTTATACATATATGTACATATGTACACATATATATATGCGGTAAATATAATTTTTGTAAATAAAATAAATTATATATTTACAAATACATGCTTATAAATTTATGTATGTATATTATGTATTAGGGCGTTTTTCTTCTTTTTAACTATTAATTTTTTTCAGTCCCGTCACGAAATTTCCTTGGAAATACCCTAAAAAAAGTTCCCTGAAAATTTTAACCCTTAATATTGACAATAAGAACTGTACCAAGGCAGCTTTTTAAGTAAGGCTTTATAGAATTTTCGTAGATGGTATGTAATAAAAAATCTATGAAAATTCCATACAGCCATATTTAAAAATACGAATATCTCAAGAAGCAGTAATKACAGCGATTTCGACCTCGGACCTTTTTTGTAGCAAATAAAATTTCCTACAAGTTTGTGATGAACATTTTATCTATAGCTTTTGTCATTTACGAGATATATACAAAAAAATGCGAAAAAATCAGGTTTATAGCCCCGTACTACCTCGCCGGTGTGAGTTACGACTTTGTTGCACTGGTCACTGGTTGTAGAGTGAACAATTCTGAGAAATATGCGTCTAAAGTCAAAGCGATGCCATAAAATACCTATGATCTGTAGGAATTTAAGATAAAAAATTTAAAGATAAAAAATCACGATTGCAGTGTATTTCATATGGGCATTAAGGGCTAAAATTTTCAGGCAATTTTTTTATTGCCAAGCAAATTTCGTGACGGGACTGAAAAACATTAATAGCCCTAAAACATTAAACGCCCTAGTATGTACATATATACATATAGGAGTATATGTAAACATTATGTCAATTCCGTTAATAATTTCGCACATAACACACATAAAAATTTGGAATATACTTGAGCTTTAAGCGTAAATTAGACTATTTAAAATCAATAATATTTACTTCGTATCGGGTTATGTTTGTTATGTATGTTTAATTAAGGGAAATCCGTAGTAATTTTACGCAAATAAAAATATTTATTTATTAACGTGCAATTAGATTAATCAGAATATTTATTTTCAAAAACAAAAAAAAAATGGTGTGAATTTTCTCGAATGACGTCCCAATGACGTACCTACCAAAATTAAGTAAAATAATACAWTATTCGACCATTAATCTTCAACCCTATGACATTTTAATAAATATTTTGGTTAAATTTAAAAAAATATGCATTTGTTTAATTTCTTTTAATTATTTTTGCATAATATACTATATAAATTTTCTAACCCTAAATCAAAATCTATAACATCGTGCAACTTGGCTTTAATGCTTTTAAAACTTTGCTCCGAAATGTAGGCAATATATTTTCAATTCGGCACGTCATTAAGATTTTCATCAACGCACAGTTAGTTTAGAATATCAACCAATGTAATTCCACTCCGAATAACATAATGTGAGAACTAAAAACAACAAACAAGTACAATTAAAAAAAAAATGTATTTTCTATTCGACAGGTGGTTTTTTTCTATGAGCAATGTATCTGTAGTTTTTTTATTCATATTAAAAACTCGSATAGCTAATTAATATTTTCTATTACATTATTTGTGACAACGATTTGTTTTTTTTTTTGGAAATTGGGTAGATATACTCATACTATTTATTGTTTTGGAGGTGCAGTCGTGCTAATTTTGCTTTGCGATACATAAAAATATATATATCGAGAACTAAATAAATAAATCTAAATAATTTTTGTTGAATTTCTACCCTTATCACTTACAAATACAAACATGAAAATATAATTTGTTAGTAATTGTTTTCATTACTGTGAGCAGAGGTCATAGATTACTGATTGTTACACTCTTACACCTACACTGAAATCACTTATAACGGTATCAACATTTTTAAGTTGAGAGTACAGGAAAAATAATAAATGAATTTGAGCCACTCGTTGGGCTTATCTCTCGGCTAAAACGTTACTTCAAAACGTAATTGAAAAGTGTGCTTATTTATTACGTATCTTTGTATGTACATATGTATGTATGGGGTACGGTGTGTTAAGGTGTATTARGGTCAGAATTCATAATTAAACAGCTGATTATTGCATCAAATACAATTTTTTGCTTTCTTCATAAATGTTTATGGAAAATTCCTGACCAAAACTTTTTTGAATTAAAAAAAATAATAAATTTTTCTTTTAATAAATACTCTTGTCTTATTCGAACTTACACTTCAAATTGCGTGTTATCCTATATGTGAGTGTATCCGTGTTTTTTATATACATATATAGTAATCCGCTCTTGCAGCTGATAACTCGATATTAAACTGAAAATATTCTTCGTTGATTCTCTAACGTTCTTAACTTCAGAATTTTAAAAAGGCTCGACACGCACGTTTCGAATAAGAGAATATGAATGATTCGAGCATCACAGTTGTTCGATAAGTTGAGATTGAAGCTCGCGATAGCTCCTTTTAATAATATATAGGTTTAAGTTTTATATATAASATCAAATAAATATCTGTTTATATACGCTTACATACATACGTATATAAATTTAAATATATGAGTCAAATGTGAACAAAAAATAAGGTGACATTGTATTTATTTTGAAAATTCTTTATTTATTCTTCAAAAYCAATTTCATCMCCTTCAAAGYAATCCCCTCCCGATGCAATGCACTTATGCCAACAGATTTTCCAATCTTCGAAACACTGGTTGTAGYCACTTTCCGGTATGGCCTTCAGTTCCGTCTTCGCTGCGGCTTGAATCTCCTCTATTGTATAAAAACGGTGTCCCCGGAGCGGTCTTCTGAGCTTGGTGAACAGCCAGAAGTCGCACGGCGCCAGATTAGGTGAATACGTGGTTGCGGAACAATATGGGTTGAGTTTTTGGCGAAATTATTACGAATTACGAGGGCAGTATGGGATGGTGCATTATCGTGGTGTAAAAACCAAAAATTGTCTTCACAATTCCGGCCTTTTTAGGCGGATAGCGTTACGCAAACGACGCATAACGTTCAAATAATATTCCTTGTTGACTGTTAGACCGGTTGGAAGGTATTCATAATGCAAAACACCACGATAACCGAAGGAAACAGTCAACAYGGCATTGATTTTTGAGCGACTTTGGCGCGATTTTTTTGGTCTCGGCTCTCTTTTGGCACGATATTCGCTCGATTGATCGGTTGTTTCGCGGTCGTAAGCTTAGATCCAAGTCTCGTCGCCAGTTATAATGCGTTTCATGACACCCTGGTAGTCGGAAAGCATCGCTTCACACACTTCAACGCGACGCCTTTTTTCCAAAAAATTCGATGTTTTCGGTACAAGTCGAGATTTGACGCGCTTGAGGCCCAAAACATCCTTCAAAATGGTATTGGCTGASCCTTTCGATATACCAACTTCATCAGCGAGGTCTCTAATTGTTAATCGACGGTTTTTCAACACCAAATCTTTGATTTGTTGAACGTGAGCTTCGTCGGTTGAGGTTGATGGTCGCCTTAGACGCTCTTCGGCTCCAGCCGGCTTGGAACTCACTATACCACTTGTAAACATTTTTTTTAGACATAGCCTAATCACCAGAGGCTTTCTGCACCATCCTCAACATATCCGCAGCAGAAAATTGATTCCGTAAACAAAATTGAATGCAAATTCTTTGCTCAACAAATTTCGACATCGCAAAAAACGAAAAACTCACTTTTAGCAGCTCACAAAACGACACATATCTCAAACACTAATGAATATTTTGACATGAAATTTGACATAAATGTGACTGAGAGTACTATCAACCTAAAAAAAAATAATTCCCCAAATCCTTCGACGCGCGCAGTTTAAATTCAAATGTCACCTTATTTTTTGGGCACAGATATTTATAAATGTATGGTATATTAAGGGTGTTTTTTTAGCGGCATAGAGTTTTTATTTGAAATAACGCAAATAATGTTTAGGCTTTTCATTATGTACCATCCTTGTTGGAACAATTTTGCTCTACATACAGCATAGTCAGCCTTGCCTTCCTCCAACAAGTATGGAATATTGACTCAATTACTAAATTTAACATTACTTTAACGGAATCTGTTTGTTTTTTTATTTCAGAGGATGCAGTTCAGACATATAATTGTCACTGCACTACGTCTTTTTAGTGAGAATCTTCCGAAGATCAGATGTAGTTCCTTTCCAAATAAATATTTTTACTAATACCAAGCCTTATAATACAGTTAAAAGTTAATATAATATGTGAACACATTTTTGGATCAATTTGTTAAAAAGTTTTCTCAGAAAAAAAAACTGGAAAAAGCGCTTTTTTCGGTCCTCTCTCTCTGTATATAACGCTTTAAGTGCACTTACAAAAAACGGACTCTTTCCTGACATGTGTGATATAACGCTTTTATTTCCATTGATCCAGATTCTAGTTTTTTAAATGTAAGAGACCTGAGAACATTTTCATTCTATATCAATCGGATACCATTGTTTTTATTATTTTTTTTATTATTATTTTTTATTATTTTTTTTTTTAACGGTGAAAGTAAATTTACTTTGACAACTGAGATTGACATCTCTTCCTCTATGAAAATCTGCGCATCTAAAAAACCCTATATTTAACATGTGTTTTCCTGCGATTGGTGGTTTTCATTTGCGTTCTTGGGGTTTTTCGTGACAACATTTTAGAAATATATGAGATAWTTTATTTATTTATTACTTTCAAAAAAACATGAAGCGTTGAAACTTTCGCGGTAGGCGTGTTATACAAATATGAGCTTAAGATTTAAGTGATAAGTAGATCATTGATCATTTTGTTCATTTAGTAATCACAAACATCTGTTCATATCATATATGTAAGTGAAGTACCTTCAGGTACATAAGACAAAAAAATTATTCGGAAAACCTAAGAAAAAGTGATAAAAAAAACGCCATTTCGAAACCCGAAATGAAAACTTGGAGATAATAGACTTCAATTAAGAGAGTTCAGTCACATACATATATATGCAATTATTTTCTATTTACTCTAATATACACTACCCTTGTAAGCCTAGATACAAATTTTTCCGAGATAAATAGAAAAGTACAATTTTGTGCTCAGTTGTGCACGGTTTCATCGAGTATTTTTTGGAGTTTGATATACATACATATTTTAACTTATTCTACAACTACTTTTTGACTAAGCATCAAGGTTTCGAAAAAATTGTTCTTCTCGAAGGTATTTCGATTTCTGATAGCACTCAGATGTTTTGAGACAGTAGTATACTATGAGAAGGGGATAACCGACCCTGAAGTGCTGGTAATCAACTCTTAAAATAGATTATATATTTTTTAACGAAACATGTGCATTCGATGGAACGATGAGCTGTATGAGATATACATACGACGACATTGACACAGTTCAGCGAATTAAGAGTCAGCGGCTGCGCTGGTTGGGCACTCCAACGCTGAAAGTATTCGATGCAGTACCCGCCGGGGGAAGCAGAGCAAGAGGAAAATTTTCACTCCGTTGGAAAGTTCAGGTGGAGAAGGACCTGGCTTTGTTTGGAATCTCCAATTGGCGCCACATTGCAAAAAGAAGAAACGACTGTCGCGCTGTTGTTAACTCAGCTATAATCGTGTAAGCGTTCTCGATGCCAGTTAATAGAAGAAAATCAACATTTTATAAAATTGTAAACAAAATCTAAGCTTTCGTTTGGTCAATTCAATAATTAGCTGACAAGTTTGTACAGTTCTAGTAAGCAAAAACTGCCGAGACCTTTGTTCTTGGGACCTTCTGTTAAACAAGTTATTGAGGTTTTCTGTTTCCACAAATTTTGAACCTAAAGCGTTGTATGCACTCACCTGAATATTTTTCTAACCACTAATTGCAAATAAATTAGTTAGACTCACCATGTTGGCACTACTGGTCTCCGTAGTCCTTTGATTATCGCCGCTATMCCGACTATTCGTCGACTCAACACTATCTTTCTTCTCGGTATTTGCTGAATGCTGTAAACGCTTGCGGCGACACATTAGTGGAAACTCGCACTGATCGCACACACTTTATAAAAGCCAAACAATGTAACGAGCCCGCAATTYACCTCAACGCTTAACGAAAACCGTTGCAATCGATGACTGCGCTCGCTTCAATGCCGATGAAAGTTTAAGCTGCACAATAGTAATATGGCAATAAAACAACACGACTGCAGCAAATGATCTGCTGTGTTATGATCTTTACTTGATGTATAAAGTTTGTGTGATTAGCTTGTGGTTGCAAAGACGCTGGCGTGTGGCATGAATATTCACGAGCTGATAATGTTTTCTCAATGCACTTGTTGTAACATTTGGTTTTTCACTAATTACTGAATGTTTACGATGTTGTTGCCGKTGTTGTTGTTTTTGTTGTTTACACGAATTGTTTGCATGATTTAGTGGCATTTGTTAGTCGGCGCAGCGAGTTGTAACTTCGAATGGCTCTGAACCGTTAGTGTTGCGTACCTGCACGAATGTGTGGCTTTTATCCACAGTTCAGCTGCACAGCCACAACAATAACAACGTATCGTTCGTATCATCACATTTTCATGTGATTTACTCAATTCCATTGGCCGCTATGCCAGCCACAGCAGATGCGGCTTGCTGGCTTACTAGCTTTCTTTGTGTGTATCCAGTTGTTGTTGTTGTTGTTGTTGTTTTGCTACCTTTGCTATCATCAATGGCGCTACAACCTCAACCTGCGCTCTATTCTGTTTTCTGTTATTTTAATATTTTCTCTTTGAGTCTTTGCAATCAGCGTTGCCTGTGGCACCGCAACAACAACACGTCGTTGTCGCATTGATCCAATTGGTAGCAGCTAAGTATGTTGACATGCGTGCTCTTTGAGTATTTTCAAATCGGCAATTGATGCCTGCCAACAGTAGCACTTCGGCGGCAGTTTTCGGGTCATTAACATAAATAACCGTAACTTAGGGCGCATATGTATGTATGTGTGTTTTGTGTAATCTACATAATTATGTGGACATCACTTGCTACCTCTTTCTACGTGCGGGACAACATTGTTTGTTGTTTTGTTACAATATTGTTTTTGTTGTCATACTAGTTTGCCATCTTTCACCTTCTCTAATAAAGACATTGAGAATTCTTTTTTTTTTTTCGTTTTATGTTTTGCCCAAAATAATATTTACCAAAGAGAAATGTTACGTGTTCTTTCGTTGCTGGAGTGTCTTAGCTTAAGTCTCCTCTTAGGCAAACAGTAGCTCAAGTCGAGGTTGCAGCTGTTTAGCTGATAATTTGTTTCCAAATAGTTTCATCAGCAATTTTTGGGGTTGTGGGGTCATGTTGTTGCAATATATTATGATAAACTAATTCAGAATGAAAAGGAGATGAAAAACATTACGTGTCTCGYACTTTATT